TTTATCTTACATACTAATTTTTTTTTACTGTGTTGTCACTAACACAGTTACTAACGCTGACTGAAGTTTTTAATTATATTTTAAAATACTGACTAGTTCTAAATTATATTTTAAAAATACATGTATAAGGAAGAATGATAAAGTCCCACATGCCCTCCATCCAGTTTAAGGAGAAAAAAGTTACTTTTACTCTAAAAAGGATGCATATAATTTATTATCCAAACAGTGACAATTTGGGGAGTGACAATGCTATTAATCATTACACCAGAAAATCAGCAAACCAGAACTGTGCTAGGTAAACCAGGACTGTTTGGCCAAACCAACACGTATAATTATCATACTCTTAAGCTCTTTGTTCACCTATTCCTTACTTCATTCCCTTCCCTCTGTAGCTAGAGGAAATCACTGTCTTGAATTCAGGCTTATCATTCTTTTGCTTTCATTTATAGATTTACTTCCTATGTTTGTACTCTTATGCTATTTACTTTCATTGGTTCTTTATATAAGTGGAATCCTACTGTAAAATTCTTTTGTGAATTGTTTTTTTGCTCAACATTTTGTTAGAGATTTATCTATGTCCACGAATTTGTAATTCATTTTTTCCACCACTATATTCTACTGTATGAGCATATACAATGTATTTAATCACTCTACTGTTGATGGACAGTGGATTTTTTTTCCATGTTTTACTGTTATAAATGCCGTTATGAATTTTCTTGCTCATGTCTCCATTTTTCCCGGGTCACAGAAGATGTGCATCTTCAGTTACTAGATAACACCATATTGTTTCCCAAATTGATTATATCAATTCATACTCCAACCAGCAATTATAAGAATTGTAATGATATTGCCAGACTTTTACATTTTTGTTCATCTGGTGGGTGTGAAATGGTATTTCCTTGTGGTTGGGTATCTTTTCAGGTTTTCTCCTGTATGAATTGCCTGTTTGGGGTGGAGAGCATTATCTTCATTTTTATTGAATTGTAGTGGTTCTTTACACAGTGTGAATACTGATCCTTTCGATAGTCATATGTGTTGCAAAGATCTTTTCTCAATTTGTGACTTGTCTTTTATTTTCCTATGGTGTCTTTTTCTTTTTTAACTATTTATTATGGAAAATGAAAACATACCATAGTCTCCTTTTATTTATGGTTTTGCTTTCCACAGTTTTAGTTACCTGCAGTTACCTCCTGTCCAAAAATACTGAAAAATTCCGGAAATAATTCATTCGTTTTAAATTACACATCATTTTGAGCAGCATGATGAAACCTGCCATTCTGCTCCATCTTGCCCAGGATGTGAGTCTTCCCTTTGTCCAGTGTATCAGTGCTGTATATGCTACCCACCTGTTAGTCACTTAGTAGACTTCTTGGTTATCAGATCAAGTGTAGCGGTATCTCAGTGTTTGTGTTCTTTATTTTACTTAATGGTTCACAGTGTAAGAGTGGTGATGCTGGCAATTTTGGATATGCCAAAGAGAAGCTGTAAAGTGCTTCCTTTAAGTGAAAACATAAAAGTTCTCAATAAGGAAAGAAAAAACACAGTATATATAGGGTCCAGTACTATCCTCAGTTTCAGGCCTCCCCTGGGGGTCTTGGAACATATTCCCTGAAGTGGGGACTACTGCGTGTAAAAGTATGCAGAACAGAATACTAAATCCCCATATACTTATTATTCAACAATTCTCAACTCATAACCAATCTTGATTTATACTACCACCCACTTTCCACATCTCTTATCTTGAAGCATATCCCAGACATTGTATCACTACATCTCTAAATATTTCAATATGTATTTCTAAAAGGAATCTTTAAAAATTACTATGATCACACAAAAATGGTTAATTCCTTAATATCATAAATTAAACAAGCATTCAAATTTCTATCATAAATGTGCCCTTACAAAATTTTTCAAAAAAGCAATTTGAATAATACAGATAAAATCCTGTGGTAGACAACCTCCAAAATGGCACCCAATAATCCCTTCTCATACTGTACTTGGTTAGTTTGTGTGTCTGTGTTAGTCTGTTCTGCACTGCTATAAAACAATACCTGAGGCTGGGTAATTTATAAAGAAAATAACTTTACTTGGCTCACAGTTCTGCAGGCTGTAGAAGCATGGCACCAGCATCTGCTTCTGGTGAGGGCCTCAGGAAGCTTTTTGTCATGGCAGAACGGAAGGAGAGCAGCATTTCATATGGTGAGAATGGGAGCAAAAGAGATGACAGGCTCTTTTAAACAACCAGCTCTTGTGTGAACTCACATAGCGAGAACTCATTGTCGCAAGGACAGCACCAAGCCATTCATAAGGGATCTACCCTCATGAACCAAACCAGCCCTACTTTCAACATTGAGAATCGAATTTCAACACGAGATTTGGAGGGTACACACATCCAAACCATGTCAGTGACCCACAGTTTGGCCACATATCTGTGTAATATGTCACTTTGGGGGCTAGGTCAAAAAAGGCATTAAAAAACATGGTGGCTTCTGCTTCTTTCTCTCTCAGATTACTTGTTTTAGGGGAAGCCAGGAAGCTCTATGAAGGGGTACATGTGGGGAGGAAGTGCGGTATTCAGCTAAATAGCTAGTGAAGAACTAAAGTGTCCTGCCAATAGCATGTGAAAGTGAATCCTCTAGTACTAGTTAAAACATCAGATGATTACAGTCTCAGCTGATGGTTTGATAACTTCACAAGAGACAATAAACCAGAGCCACTCAGCTATTCTGCTTCTGGATTTTTGACCTTCAAACACTACATGAGATAATGAATGTTTATTGCTTTACATGTTGTATTTTGGGGTAGTTTGTTGTGCAGCAAGAGAAAATTAGTAGACATTCTGGTACTCGGAAGTGGGATGTTATCAAAAACCTAAAATGTAAGTGTGGTTTTGGAACTGGCAGTGAGCAGAAGGTAGAACTTGGAGGAGTTAATGAAAGTTTGAAGAGCTTTGAAGAAATTTTTTTTATAGAAGCATAATAGATAACCTTTGAGGAGGCTGCAGGTGACATCTTAACAGATTTGAAATCTCTTGTTGGAAAGTAGAGGGAAGGAGATCCTTGTTACATAATGGCAGAAAGTTTAGCAAATTTGTTACCCACAGATATGTACAAAGTAGAAAATATGCCTAATTAACTGACTGATCTAGCAAAGGAGATTGCCAGCCAAATGTTAAATATTTCATGTGTATTTTTTCTTGTTGCTTATAGTAAAATGTGTGAGGAGAGAGACAGTCAAAGGAAGAACTGTTAAACAAAAAGGAGCCACGGCTAGGCATGGTGGCTTATGCCTAAAATCCCAGAACTTTGGGAGGCTGAAGTGGGAGGAATGCTTGAAGCCAGGAGTCCAAGATCACCTGGCCAATACAGCAAAAACCAGACTCTATTACAAACAAACAAGTCAAAACTTGCTGGATTTGAAGATTCCTAGCCTGTGCAGATGACAAATGATGCTAAAATTGGGGAATGTCTCCGAGCAAAAAGCAAATCCAGGACACTGCCAAACATAAAGTTGAGGGTGTACTTATAAAGTCCTTTAATAGCTCACAAAGATCTTAAGTTGTGCCTCAGAGTATTTTCATCAAACAACGTGTCTCAGAAAAATCTTTGAATAACATCACAGGTTTTAAAAAAGTTTAAGGGTGTTTTCATCAGCAAAAGCCCGAGGTACAGGAGTTTATGTGGAAGAGATGTGTGGTTGTTGCTTTTGTCTAATGGAGTGAACTCAAAATTCACAAGTGAGCCACAAAGTTTTTAAGAGAAGTCTTTTAGCAGAAACACAGCCAGCCTGGACTGAAAGGCACAGAGAAGACCAAATGGAAAGAAGCTTGTGGGACATTCAAGCTTCTATAGGCAGAAAGCAGGCAGAACTGTAAACAAGAAAAAGAAAGGGTGACTCAGTGAGTAGATCCAAGATCTACTCACTAAGATAATTCTAGCCTTGAAACTTGACCAAGGAACTACCACTGTGCCCAGGTGGGTTTCAGAATTTCCGTGAACCTATGTACCTCCAATGTTCCCTCTTTTTAAATATACATGTCCACATTTATTATTTGATTCATTTTCTATTACATGTGGAAGCAGAGACTATGTCTTTAGTGTATGGGTCTTCACATAAAAAAGAACTCTTCTTGAGGAGCTGTACTTAAGTGCACCTATGAGTGGCATCCACAATTGGAACTGATTTAGATTTCTAGACTTTGAACTAATGGTGTAATAAGATGAGAGCTTTGGAGAGCTTTTGGAGGGGATGAATATATTTTGCAAATCAAGAACTATCAATCATTGGGGCCAAATTGTGACAGCCAGCTTCCCAGTATTCATGCTCTTGTGTAATCTCCTCCCATATATTGTCAGGGAAATGTCTGTGTGACTAACAGTATAAAGTAGAAGTAATGGTTTATCACTTTGAGTGATCACGGTTTCTCTCTTGGACCACCTGTTCTGGAGAAAGCCAGCTGCCACGTTGTGAGAAAACAAGGCAGCTCTAGGAATGAGCCCTCCAGGAAGTGGATCCTCTAACACCAGTCAAACTTTCAGACTACAGCCCAGCCAACATCTTGACTGCAAATTCATGAGACCTTGTGCCAGAATATATGGCTAAGACACCCATGGATCCCAAATCCTAAGAAAGTGTATAAATATTTTTAGATTGAAGCTAGGGTGATTTGTTATACAGTAAGATAACTAATGCAAGTTCACAGGCTGTTTCATATTGAACTAAGTCTCTTGCAATCTACAGTTTTCTCCACTTGTCCTTCTCCCTCTCCCTTTCTCCTGCAACATATTTGTTGAAATTAATTTGTCCCAATATTCTCCAAAATTGGATTTTTCATTTATATTTTCCATTCCAAAATATTACGTTGCGGTAGGTCTCATTGGCTTAAGGTTTTATTGGTGTTTATATTTCCTGCAAATTGGATGGATCTAAATACCTGATTAGTATCAGGGTCAAATTTTTGATAAGATTTTAAAATCAGTAGTGGTGTTTTTCCATTAAGAAGTATATGTTTTCTTGTCATGTTAGCAGCTGTTGAAATGCAATAAATAAATCCATGTGTTCATTAGGAATTTCAAAATGGCAATTTTCTATCACTCCTCCATTTATTAGCTGGAATACGTGTATAAAGAGAACCCTCCCCTCCTCTACTATGTGGTTACCTACAGTTCACATAGAAAAGGCAGGACAAATGCCTACTGAAAAAAAAACAAACTGGTTTTCAAAATAATGAATTGATGCAACAGCATCTTCTACTGTTGACCAACTAAACGCTGTTTTACAATCATTACGTACTCATAGATTTAAAGACGCTTGATATGTTCCAATCAATTGGCATTTACTGTCCTTATTGACACTCAAATGGTCTCATCTATGGCCAGAAGGATGCTTTTCAGTTGTCTCCTGAGTCCATTTGATATGACACCCTCATAGTCTATAATAGCTTCCTTGCTATCTAGCACAACACCAGGCTCATCTTGTACATTTCCTGTGCATGACTGAAATTAACCGCTATTCCAAGGGATTATGGAGTCTTTTGAACAGGGGTTTTTAACTTTAACGTTTTGGACATACACATTTCCCTTTATACATATTACATTTCCCTACTATAAGATCATAAAAATATTTTGCAATCTTTCTTTTGAAGGTTTAATGTTTTCCTTTCACACTTACATCTTAGTCACCTGAAACTACTTTTTCTGTATGGTGTTAGGTAGGGAGGACCAACTTCATTTTTCCCCCTATGAATATCCAGCATCTAAATGCTCTAGCTTTTCCTGCTGGTACGCAATGCCATCTCTGCCATAAGTCAAGATTCCTTACAATCAGGATTCCTTATAAATCAATTTTTCCATCTCTAAGTAGTATTACAATATCCTAATTACTATGGTTTTAACAGATTTATTGAGGTACAATTCACATACCAATTTACTCATTTAAAGTGCACAACTGAATTCATTTTAGTATATCTACAGAAACGTGCAACTACACATTTTAGAACTCTATTGCCTCAAAAAGAAACCGCACCCTTTAGCTATCACTACCTTGGGCCCCCATCACCCCAAACTTTGCAAGCCCTAAACAACCACAATCTATTGTCTCAATACATTTCCTACTTTATACATTTTATTTAAATGGAATCATACATGGTCTTTTGTGACTGGCTTCATTTCAGCATGCTTTCAAGGTTTATCCACATTACAGCAGGTATTAGTACTTCATTCCTTTTGCGGCCAAATATATCCCATTATATAAATGCGTCACTTTTTGAGTATCTTTTCATGGATAAACATTTTATCTTTTGATGGATATTTGAGTTGTTTTTATGTTTTTGCTGTTATGAATATCTACAAGTCAATTCCATCTTAAATTTGCTTCTGAAATATCCTGAATTCTGCTCTTTGTCATAGAGACTTTAGAATCAGTTTGTCAAGCTCCTTGATAAACTCATTTGGGATTTCTATTGCAATTATCTTCATTGTGTAGGGGAGCATTGCCATCTTAACTTGAGTCTTTTAATAATTGAACATGGCAATTTTAAAATTAGATATTTTTAAATGTCTGCCAATAGTTTTGTAATTTTCTACAGACGTCTTCTATACCTTTTGTTAATTACCTTTAGATAATTTATATTTTCAAAGCAATATAGTAAATGGTATGTCACAAAAATCATTTTCTAACAGTTCATTTCTGCTGGAGAGAAATGCAATTCACTTTTGTATACTGATAGTCATATCAGTCTGTTTTCACACTGCTATACATACTGAAGACTACTTTATAAAGAAAAGGGGTTTAATTGGCTCATGGTTCTGCAAGCTGTACAGGAAGCACAGTGGCTTCTGCTTCTGAGGCAGCTTCAGGAAGCTTCCAATCATGGTGGAAGGCAAAGGGGGAGCAAGAGCAAGAGACGGGGAGAGATACCACACAATTCTAAATTACCAGATCTCCTGAGAACTATTTCAGTTCTCAGAACTATTTAGTACCAAGAGGATGGTACTAAACCACTAATAAGAAACCCATTCCCATGATACAATCTTCCACTAGGCCTCACCTCCAACATTGGGGATTACAATTCAACATGAGATTTGGGTAGGGACACAGATCCACATCATATCAATAGTATATTCAGAATCCTTGCAAAGCTCTTAAATAATTTATCTGTAGACTAAGTTATGTTTATTTCCAATTTTTAATCTTTTATTTTTCTTGCCTTATAATGCTGGCTAGGATCTCCAACATAGCACCTGTTCCTGATTCTAATGGACTGCTTCAAATACTTCATCTTAAAATATTGTTGCTGTAGTTTTATTGGCTTAAGGAAGTTCTACACAATTCTAATTTGCCCAAAGGTTTATCCATGTCTGTTAATTTTTGCAAATAGTTTTCTTTTCCTGCATCTGTTTAGATAGCCAGATAGTTTTTCTAATCTTTTAATAAAATACATTCCTGGGTTAAATTCAACCTGACCATGTTTTATTGTCTTTTCTTAAAAACAAATTTTCTGAGGTCTGTTTTATTCAGGATTTTTGTCTTTGTGAATATGACAGGGTTCTAATTCTTACTGCCCTTATCAAATCATTACTGCCCTAATAAAATCATTTTATTAGGCTTCTGTGACCTTGATGTTAAATTTGATAAGGGCAGTAAGGGCTAATTCCACAGTATATAAGTGGAATATACTATGTATGGAAGTAGAATATACTGTGGAATGGTTTGTGTAAAATTGAAATGATCTGTCCTTTGAAGGTTTCACAAAAGTCTCTGGGCATCATGATTTCTTACATCAACATCCCATCATTTATATTTTCCATTACTTGTCAGCTTTTGAAAAGTTACATTTTTCTGGAACTGTCTACCTCATTGATATTTTCCCATTATAAAGTTGTTCGTAATTTCTCACCAATCTCTACAGCATTTGTAACAATGTCCCCATTTTCACTTCTAATATTTATTTATTTATTTGCTTTTTCCAAGAGACAAAGGTCTCATTATGTTGCCTAGGCTAGTCTCAAATTCCTGGCCTCAAGGGATGCTCCTGCCTTGGCCTCCCAATGTGCTGAAATTACAGACGTGAGCTACCACACTCAGCTTGGACAAAATATAAAACAAACATCTGAGAGCGTTAGAGACAATAAAGTATTCAAAAGGAAAAAACAGAGTTGTTGAATCCAGCATTTATATTAGCTTTTCCTCTGGAGTATCTTCTGATTCCTGAGATGATGGCTGAAAAGTTGAACAGAGCTTCTCACCCATAGAATTAAAAAGACAAAAACTGAAGTTTAGGGCCTGGTCTGGTAAACTCTGCATGCTTGAGTTAGAACTTTAGAGGTCTACATTCTGAGAGAAAGTATGAACAGTAAGTAGACCTGCCTATATTCTAATTGTCTCTATCACTAACTGGATTAAGATGATCTTGGATTACTACTGTCCAAAGGTCTTGCCAGGAGACATAAATTCTTTCTTTAGAAAACATTATCATATTGGACTTCAAAGTATAGTTTCCCCATAAACAATTCAATCAAAACAACTCTGACATTCAATTAAAACATAGCCTAAACCAAGTTTTATATATTTATAATGTTTATAAAATAAATAATATAAAATAACATAAAAATAAGGGACATAAAAACAAGAAAATGTGATAACAACAACAAGAAAAGTGTCAGATAATAGCAGACACCATAGTTATTAGATACAGATTTTAAAGTAATTATGATTAGTATGTTTGAGGAAATAAAAGATGAGATATTGGGTAAACAACTGGAAACAATAAAACAGAATCAAGTAGAAATGTTTGAACTGATAACCAAAAATATAACTAAAATAAATGCTTCAAGAGAGATTTTTTTTTTTTTTAAACAGATTAGAGACTACTAAAAGAAAGTAGTGAACTGAAAGTTAAGAAGAAATATCCAGGATGAAACAGAGAGGAAAATAAATGGATACAAGGGACAAAGTGAACTCTCAAATACACATGTAAGGGGAATATCAAAAGAAGAGGAGAAAGGAGAGTGAAGGCAGAAGCAATGTCTGATGAAACATACCTAAGAATTTTCTCAAACAGCCTAAGGACATCACATCCAGATTCAAGAAACATTACAAATCTCAAAGAGGGGGAAAAAACACACACACACACACACACACAAAAACAAACACAAAACACATGTGGGCACATCAAACTTAAGACAAACCTCTTAAAAGTAGCCATTCAAAAAAAGAGATTATACTGTGGCATATACTTTGAAGAGAAAAAGACAAAATGGACATCATGTCTCAGAGGACATAATGGAAACCAGAAGGAATAAAATATATCTCCAAAATGATAAAATAGCTGCTAATTCAGCAAAAAGGTTCTTAAAAAATAAAAGTAAAATAAGACAGTTTCAGGACAGAAAATCTGAATGGAATTGCTACCAGTAGACATTCAAAGAAATATGAAAGTACGTCCTTCAAGAAGAAAAAAGATCTTAGATGGAAGCTCAGAATCCAGGAACCACAAAACACAAGAGAAAAAGTTAATGTTTGGGAAATGTAAATTCATACCGTATAAAAAAAAGTCTTGAGAATTTAGGAAATACATATCAAGAATATATAATATATATAACATGAGGTGGGGCAGTAAATGAAGTTGATGTGTTCTCAGGTCCTTTCATTGTCCCAGAAGAAGTACAATACCAAATTATCTTAAAGATGATAAACAAAGGTTCCATGTTTTAATACCTGAGGTGAACAGTAAAAAGATACTGAAAGATATCTGTCAAGCTTATGAGGTAGAAAAAATGGAATAATTAAAAATAATCTAAAAGGTCTATATCCATACCACCCTGAATATGCCTGTTCTCATCTGATCTGGGAAGCTAAGTAAGGTTGGGGCTGATTGGCACTTGGATGAGAGTCTGCCTGGGAATATCAGGTGCTATGGCCTAAGGAAAAAAAAAAAAAAAATCAAAAAAGCAAAAGAGAGAAAATGAAAATAGGAGAGGTGGGATAGATAAAATAAGAATAATGACAAACTTAAATCCAAATATGTTAGTAATTATGTAACATGTAAGCAGACTCTTTACTCCAATTAACAAATTACCAAAGTAGACTTTAAAAATATATTATCTATCACTCTTTGCATTAAAACCAAACTACCATAAACTGGGTGACTTAAACAACAGAAATTTATTTCTCACAGTTCTGGAGGCTGGGCAGTTAGAGAAGAGTGCCAGCATGGTTGGCACAAATCAGGCCCTCTTCCTGATTTGTAGTTGTCTGTTTTCTTGCTGTGTCCTCACATGGTGAAGAGCAAAGAAAGAGGGGAAGCAAGCTGTCTAGTGTCTCCTGTAGTAAAGGCACTAATCCCATGGAGGGCTTCGCCCTCATTATTTAATCACCCCCCAAAGGCCCCATCTACTAATATCATGTCATTGGAGATTAGGGTTTCAATATAAGAATTTTGGTGTGGAGGGAGAGGGGACACAAACATGCAGTCTATAAAATGCCTGTTAATTTTTTGAGACAGGATCTTGCTCTGTGGCCCAGGCTGGAGTGCAGTGGCATGATCTTGGTTTACTGCAATGTCTACCTCTTGGGTCCAAGTGATCCTTCCACCTCAGCCTCCTGAGTAGCTGGAACTGTGGGCACACACCATCACACTCAGGTAATTTTTAAATTGTTTAGAGAAGAGGTCTCTCTATATTGCCTAGGCTAGTCTCTAACTCTTGTGCTCTAGTGATCCTCCCGCCTCAGCCTCCCAAAGTGCTGCAATAACAGGAGTGAGCCACTGTGCCAGGCCTAAAATGCTGTTTTAACTTAGACAATAAACATTTCCATTAGAAAGACTAGTCTAATGACTCTTTAGAAGAGCTAGATAAAATTCCACTAAGCATATATAACAATTGATCAATCTTATTGTATGTAAGACTGCAACAAACTTTTTACCATTATAGGTGTTACTACAAATAAGTATTTGTCATAAAGCATTTTAAGGGCAATTTAAATGATGTAACTTTTGCAACATTCACTTAAATGATATTTCTTAAGGGGAAGGCGGGAAAACAAAACAAGGTCCCAGCCTTGGAGGAATTTATAGTCTAATTAGGAGAACAGTATACATTAGGAAAAAAAAAACTACAATGAAAGCATACGACACTTATACTTCTTCAGAAACAGCAGAAATTTCTTAGCAGAAAAACTAATCAGAACATGTTGCAAAAAATATGGACTGAACTATGAAAAAGTGATATATCTTAATGGCTGAAAGAGTTCCAGGTCAGTGTGGGTATCATAACTTTTTGTTGGTCTTGAAAGCATTTGAGAACAGTTCTCACTCAGGATATTTCAACTCATCACAAAGCCGGAATGGTAAGCAACCAAGACTTTTCTCAAAGATTATGCTCCTAATTCCCTTGCTGAAACTACTGAATTTCTTTTCATCTCCATCATCTATCTTTTCTTTCCTTTCATAACCGTGCCCTTTCTCTGTATCTTCGTCAAAGACACCCACCTATTTTAAATAATGGAAACACGAAAATTATTGTACTTCAAGGCAGGCAACCAACAGATAATATTATTATTCTACAAAATAAAAAAGACTGGGTGGCACTTCCTTAAAACATATGTCCATTTTAATCATTAAATAGCATTACTTATATTACAGATTTTTCACATGTAATTGAGAGAACTGTGTGAAATAGAACATTAAAGGATATTAATCAAGTTATTTATCAATTTGATTAAATAAGGAACATTGAACTCCATGATCTATTAAAAATGATAAGCAGATAATCAAAACTACGATTTCTTTTTATGGTTTTACTATGGCAGGAATGGATTCCATTCTGATAGTAATCCCAGTTTTACTGTCACATAGAAGATACTTTGTGAACTTCAATGACTGCCAGGTTTAGGACAGATATTAAGAACCACAGTGTCAGAAATGAAAGAACACAATTTCACAGAATGTGTTGTTTCTGACAGGTTGATAGCCACTTACCTTCTCCATCTTTTCCTCATGGATAGCAGCTACTTCCCACAGATACACCAACAGACAATTCCAGCCCCTCTCTACCACACTTACCAGTTGCAAGTGCCCTGTGGCTTGTCTATTTACAACCCTGTCCCTACACAGCAGAAGCGGAACCCTTCAGGAAGTTCTGGATTCATCCTCAGCAGGATCTGTTTCACAAACTATTCTCCAGTCTCACCTCCCCTCCAGCTATTCTGTCAGTACTTACGATTCCTAGATCTTCTTTAATTGTCACGCTGTTCGTCCCCTCACAAAACCAAATTTAAACAACAAATCCCTCATACACTCAGTCTGTGTCCCTTTCCTGACATAAAGCAACTGACCCTGTGCATGCTTCTTTTGGATGGCTGAGAACTCCGATTCCTTTGGGTCATTTACAGCTTGGATACCATACCCTCCAGGTACTTTGATAAGGAGGGTGAAATTTAGTATCTATACACCTGCCTACTCAACCTTCTTAACTTTCCTCAAAATTTCCTAGTTTCCCTTCCCAATTTCAACTTTATAAAAAACGTCACACTATGGCACAAAGTGAATTCATGGATGAAATTACTAACAGCTATAACTTAAGTAAGGATCCCCAAGTCGTGAGACAAATTTCTGGGTTGAAAGTGCTCTGTATATCCATTTCAAGCCTGCCTCCAGTACGACGTCTCATTATAATCAAATAAAAAGGCAGAAAAAGTTGACTGGAATAGAGTTTGGGAAAAACACAAAATTAAAAGGTGTATGAGAGTTTCACTTATTTGCATCTGATATAGATATATATCTATATATCGATAGATATCTAGGTATCTATCGATATATCTATAGAAAAAGAAAACCCCTCATACATTGTCTGTATCCCCTTTCCTGACATAAAGCAACTGGCCCTGTGCATGCTTCTTTTGGATGGCTGAGAACCCCGATATATCGATACATATCTGTCTATATCATAGATATAGATCACAGATATAGACAGATATCTATATGGAAAACGTCCATATTGGAACGTATTAAACAGGCAGAATTTTCTTCCTGGTTTCTCTGCTCTTGGTAGATGTTCTTCCGACTTCAATTGCCACCTGTGAATAGTGAAGAAACTTCTCACTATGAGATTCCATTGCCCTGAGGGAGGGAGAGCTACGGTACCCACTAAAGCAGGGAACAGAAGCAACTGAGGGGCAGGTCTGTGGAAATGAGGATATGCTAATAAGGGACCGAGTCGGGAAAGCTAGAGGGTAAAAAGAGGGCGTCAGTTAAGCTGAGACAAAACGACGGCCAAACGCGGTCTTTACACTCTAAATCACCTGGGTCTGGAGTCGACTCCCTTCGCGCACCCTCACTCCCAATCCCGGCCCCCTCCCGCCCCTCTCCCGCTCCCCACACCAACGTGTGCCTCCGTCACCTCTCAGACAGCGGATGCGTTCCTGCTGAAACCACCTAACCTACCTCAGGGTCCTCGCAAGCGCAGCCACTGCGCTCCGCCCGCCGACGTACCTGTGCTGCGCCTGCGCCTCCTCCGCGCTCTCAAGGTCAGCACCGCCCCCAGCCCATAACCTGGCACCCACGGAAGTTGCTTTAGAGGACGTCCTGCGTATCTTCACCTCTGCGTGGCGTGGGGTCGACGGAGCTCTGGAGAAGGGAGGAACTTCCTGTCCCGCGCGCGCACAACTTCCGGCAGAGCCGGAAGACCCTCTCTTTCGCTGTTTGAGAGGCTCCCGGCTCAAGGACCGGGAGGTGAGAGGTTTGGGAGTGTTCCGACGACTCCGGGGTGTCTGGTCCACGACCTATCCTAGGCGCCATGGTGAGTTCTTCTGTGAGGGCAGGAGTGACAACGGTCGGGCGAAAAGGGTGGGGAGGTCAGTCCTGTGAAAAGAGCCATCAGGTGCTCTGCTCAGAATGGAGTGAGTTGAGACGTTGGGATGAGCTGCTGGGCAGGACCCACCACCTGTCCTAGGGTGTCTGAGCCCCTGAGGAAGCACCGTTACGCCTGCCTGGCTGGGAAACTAGCGGGCCGGAGGTAGGGGCGTATCTGTCAGGGAGTATGGACTGGGTAGCCTGCCTGTTAATGGCCCATTTACTGTGTATGGCCTGTGGCGCCAGGTGATCCCAGAGTTGACCTTGCCGGGTCAATCACCTTTTCTGCGCCCCCTTCCCCAGCCGCAGAACAGTGGCCAAGAACTTCGGATCTTAGAAATGCGTTTAGCCTCTCCAGGTGGACACAGCGGGTCTCCTTCTTGTACAGGATCAACACCTGTCATTTAAAGAAACGGCAGTCCCCTTATTCTTTACACTTAGCCATTTCATAATTGAAAAGGATGTCAAATAGAAAACCCGAATTAGTAAGGACAGACTTTATTCGAAAAGAATATTGCAAGGGTGTGGAGGAGGTTGAAGGAACTGTTGCAGTAGGGAGAAGGACCATAAGATTTGCATGCCCCTTAAAGATTAGGCAGAAAGGGTTTGTCTTTTATAGGGAGGGGTAAGACGTCAGGAATTGGGGTAAAAAGGTGGGTATGATCCGACAGTAACCAGATAATGTTTTACCCTGAGCCCATCTATTCTGAGGAGGAGCTGTTAAGAGAGGTTTGTATATGTTGTTTCAGACTGAGGGAAGGACAAAATTCAGGTACCCCACGGAAGAGAATCTTGAAGTTTGGCTAAGAAGTACTTTGTTCCGATTGATCTGTGGGACAGGTACTTCAGCAAGTCATTTACGGAGCAAAGGATGGGAATTAGAAGGGTCTGGTTATGGCCTTGTTTTAGGTAAACAAGGGGTAGGGGAGGTATGGATCGACCCTTAGGCTTATCTGAGTTCTACAGGAAAGGTGATTCTTCGCAGCAAGCCAATTTCTCAGAACACAAACAGGGGCAAGGGGTTTCTTACCGTTTGCTGTTTTTCCAAGATCACAGGGCTCTGGTGAAGTTCATTATTGTCATTTTCTTCACTGTATACAAGATTTCAGACTCTCGCCTGCAGAGGCATCTGTCCTGGAATTTAACTTCAGTTTGCTATGTATTTTCAGGGCCAAATATTGCCAACGAACGTTATTGTGTGTGGTGATTGGCTTTTGAATGACTTAGAAACTTAACTGAGTGTAGAACAAAGACCTTCAAAATAATGTAGTTTCTGGTCCACTTTAACAGATAACCTCTCTCTTTAAAGTGTTTTTTTTTTTGTTGTTTTTTTTTTTTGTTTTTTACCTCAGTGGATAATATGGTTTTTATTGAGTTGTTTTTCTTTTGTATCAGTGAAATTAGACAAGGATAGGGAAAACAGAACTGGGAGGAACCAAAGCCTAGTAATCACTCTTCCATCCCCATTTTTACAGAAGAAAGAATCTGGAGTCTAGAAATTGACAGTGATTTATCTAAAGCAACAGTAGTTTGGCAGTCTGGACTAAAACTCATATTTTCATTTTTAAAATTTTAGATTAACTTTTGACTTGTTGGTCTGAAAAGTTGAAGATAAAGTATAATTAAAATACTTAAACTCATCGTAGTCACAGAAAAGCTGAATGTGAGCTTGTTCTCAGTGTTTTGGAATACTAGAAGTAGAACTCTTCTTATCCTGTCAGTTCAGAAGAGGTAGTTAATGTTTGGAACTAATGTAATCTTACGCTGTTTTTCTGAATGCCATTTTAGAGCTAACTAGTTGGCTCTCTTCCTTCTGGAATTGCTTATATTTCTGAGTTAATTATCTTGGCTGAGTTTTATCTTTCCCAGCTATGAAACTGATAATGTCTGTATATGCAAGTGGGGTTAATGCTTGGAATTTTTCAAAAGAAAGAGTTTAACCATTAAATGAAGTGAACATGGGCTGAATTTATTGAGGTTTCAGCTCGTTGAAATCAGAACTTGTTTTGCATTGCTGGGGCCCAATGATATTATGGAAAGAATATTAGTATTGAACCCAGAGGACCCAGATTCTGCTCATTGTTAGTTATATAGATTTGGAAAAGTCACTCAATTTTGATAAGAGTTCCAAATTCCTCCCAGATAAGAGAAGTGGGACTTGATGGGTACTAAAGCACCTTCTTACATTTGTGATTCTGTGACTACTCAGAACATTTTTCAGGATAGTTATGTGTTTCAGATTAAATAAAAGTTAGTCTGATTTCCACTGTTTTGTTTCCGTGCCATTTTGGTTTAAGTTTGATTTCTTTTATCATTCTCTTTTTCATTTTTTTTGTAAGTCACATAGATAATACTTGGAATCTATGTGTGTTTGGCCAAGTCTTTCACTACTGTCTTAAATACTGCTCCAGAATGGAACGCAACTCTTGGAATGTTTTGATTTAATTCTTGTTTTAATTAATGATAAACTAATTCTGTGCTCTCATTCTCTGACACATTATGTAAACCAAAACTCAATAGATACCTGCGTCTATAATAAGGTTTTTGTATTATGAATACAGGAGAATAGGATTATGATACAGACTTAAAATACTGAACCCACCCTTAATTTTTATGCTTTCAAGTTGTGAAGACAAGTCTATGGGAAATTTCCTAATGGAATAAAGCCATTTGCTCTATTGCACTTTCCTTTTTGAAAATTACAGACCAACTTTGATCAAATAGAAATCTTTCTACCATTCAAGCTACTTTGTGGGAGATAGGTAGATTAGAGCTAGCTCCTGGAATTGCAGATATCATGGCTTGCATTTGTGTATCATCCTGTAGTAACTTACTGCTGGAATTGAACAATGGTTTGTGGGCAGGTGTGGGAGAGGGGGCCGTGGGGAGGTTGTAAACCTTTGTCATAATCAAGTGGATTTAATGAGAAGCTTTCTTTTTGAGGGTAGTGGAGGGGAGTGTTGGGAAGAGTGTAGTAAATGCTATAAGAGAAACACATATAATAATCTCAAAGAGTACAGCGGAAATAAATTAATTCTAACTGAGAGCAGGTTGGGTCATGTAGTAGGTCACAGGTTCCCAACCCCTGGGACTGTGGACTCCTACTGGTCCATGGGCTGTTAGGAACTGGGCTGCACAGCAGGAGGTTAGTGGTGGGCAAGTGAGTATTAATGCCTGAGGTCCATCTCCTGTCAGATCAGTGGTAGCATTATATTCTCATAGGAGCGCAAACCCTGTTGTGAACTGTGCATGCAAGGGATATGGGTTGGATGACCCTTATGAGAATCTAATGCCTGCTGATCTGAGGTGGAACAATTTCATCCCGAAACCATCCTCCCTCCACACTGCCCCCACCATGTGTGAAAAAATTTGTCTTCCATGAAACTGATTCCTGACGCCAAAAAGGTTGGGGACTGCTGTAGTAGGTGACTTCAACTGAGTTTTTAAAGTGGGTTAATATACTAGTTTTCAAGCTTGAGTTTGCATAGGAATCATCTGTACTACTTTATAAAAACACTTCTCTGGGCTCATAATTTGTGGTAGCATGAAGTTTTAGAATTGTATTTTTAAATTTTAAAAAAATTTTTACTTTAAGTTCTGGGATATATGAGCAGAACATGCAGGTTTGTTACATAGGTATAAATGTGCCATGGTGGTTTGCTGCATTTATCAACCCATCATCTATGTTTTAAACTCTGGATGCATTAGGTGTTTGTCCTGATGCTCTCCCTCCCCTTGCCCCCAACTCCCTGACAGGCCCCGGTGTGTGATGTTCCCCACTCTGTGTCCATGTGTTCTCTTTGTTTAACTCCCACTTATGAGTGAGAACATGGTTTGTTTTTCTGTTCCTGTGTTAGTTTGCTGAGAATGATGGCTTTAAACTTCATCCATGTCCCTGAAAAGGGCTTAAACTCATTCTTTTTTTGTGGCTGCATAGTATTCCATGGAGTATATGTGCCACATTTTTGTGATCTAGTCTACCATTGATGGGCATTTCAGTTGGTTCCAAGTCTTTGCTATTGTAAATAATGCTGCAATAAACATATGTGTGCATGTATCTTTAGAGTAGAATGATTTATAGTCCTTTGGGTATATACCCAGTAATGGGATTGCTGGGTCAAATGTTATTTCTGGTTCTAGATCCTTGAGAAATTGCCACACTGTCTTCCACAATGGTTGAACTAATTTACCCTACCACCAGCAGTGTAAAAGCGTTCCTGTTTCTCCACAGCCTCGCCAGCATCTGTTGTTTGCTGACTTTTAAAGTAATTGTCATTCTCACTGGCACAAGATGGTATCTCATTGTGGTTTTGATTTGTATTTCTCTAATGACCAATGATGATGACCTTTTTATTGTATTTCTTGGCCACATGAATGTCTTCTTTTGAGAAGTGTCTGTTTATATCCTTTGCCCACTTTTTGATGGGGGGGTTGTTTTTTTTCTTGTAAATTTGTTTCTCATAGATTCTGGATATTAGAATTGCATTTTTAATAAGTTCTGCAATTAAGTTTTTTTTTTTTTTTTTTTTTTTTTAATCCTTACTCTAGTACTGGATGCAGTTCAGAGTTAAGTTGGTGGACCTTAAACCCCCACTAGAGAGAAATGCAAGTATAAGAGACTTTGATGGAAATACTGGAGGTCCTTTTGCTAGCTCAGTGGTAATTTGACATGTACAGTTTGAAGGATGGATTCGGTCAGGTATTAGCAGTTAACTACTAAGGCTAACTTTTAGGTTTAAAACATTCAGGTTTCTTCTCAGTTCTCTGACTTTATTTTCTTCTGACTGCTTTCCTTCACTACTTTCTTACTACAGAGGCCTAGTTGAAATAATGTTATAGACTGACTTTTCTCTTGGTTAGTATTTGGTTGGTTCAAGGTTGGTTTTTAAGATTAGTTGATACTTTGGGCTTTGATCCTCTTAGAAAAAAAAGTTGTTTCTTTTGTTT